CCCCAAAACCCCAAAACCCCAAAACCCCAAAACCCCAAAACCCCTTACGGATTCACTGAAGTTGAGGGTATTATAAATAATGGTAAACGGCTTAAAACTAAAATTGATATTTACTGGTGAAAAACTGCTTAAAATTATTCTTAAAGGCAGTTTTAAAGTGCTGAAATGGCATTTTAGGGAGGTAACGAGGCCTGAGACATCTTAACAAGGGGATAATCCTAGTATAGAATGTTTCAACTAGATTTTTGGGTGGATTATCATTGGTTTCCGATACTTATTGCCATGGGACCTTTGGACATTAGGAATTAGCAAGAACCCGAGAGATGAAGTTTATGGGGGTTATGAAATGCTCTAGTAGGAGTTTGAGTGGTATTAATTGCTTAAGATTTTTCATATATCAATTTTTATTTGTTAATGAGCTGGTCTTGTTTTCAATTTCATTTGTGTTGCTTCTCACTACCAAGCATGACCAAATTAATCTCATTACTTGTCTCACACTTCAAAGAAATTGGCATTTTCCTTGAATAGCCAAACTTCACTTATAGTAGTTTGGATGTTGGTAGATATCACATGTGTTATATGCAAGAAGGAATCAAGGATGAGGTATCTTAATCCAACTTATTCCTCTTCCTCCAAAGCCAGACCATTCATTTAGGCCAAAATTTCATCAAAATATTCAATAATTCTCTAATAAGTTATAAAGAACAGACCTTTATGCTTCTTAAAGCTAGAAAAATGAAATTGACTTGACCATCTCAAACATCCATGATATAATCGATTCCGTGAACAGATAGGTACTATTCCAATGGCTAAATTACAGAACGCATCAAACTTAGCCTGGCCCTAAATGCCTGAGAAAAATCTCCATATTTTTCTCTAGAAATGGTTTCTTATTTACTACCAAATTTGCAGTGGAACCTGCTATTTCCAGGATTAATCACAGTGACTTTTAATCCTGAAACCTAGTAGCTGGCAAAACCAAGAGTCGAACTTCAAAGCAGCCTAAATATCTGCACATTTCTAGATTCTGAATTGCTCTGAGGTCTTTACAGTCTTGAATTTTCAGTATAATCTGAAGAGGTTCTGAAATATTTTTGGAAAGATACACATTCCCTCTTCACGGACCCTTAACTAGGCAATAGAGATTCAGGCCATCAATATTCTTCATAGATTTTCCATCTTTATTTTGTGAACAAAATTGATCAATATAAAATGAGAGTGAAGGGGTTTTGGGGTTTTGGGGTTTTGGGGTTTTGGGG